TGGTCCAAAGCAAAGCCAAGATGAATTCAGTGCCGTCCTGAATGCAATGCAGACGACAAACACACCGGCTGAACAGCACAAACCTGCTACAGATGGTACATTACAGAGGATAAACTTGACAACCAACCAACAGACAAAAACACCAACAGTGGAAAACAATAAGGAACTGGAAAACGGCAATGGAAAACAGCAGGGAACAACCAACCAACAGACAAAAACAACACCAGTGGAAAACAATAAGGAACTGGAAAACGGCAATGGAAAACAGCAGGGAACAACCAACCAACAGACAAAAACAACACCAGTGGAAAATGACAGCAAACCGGTTATTACTTCTGTTGAAGATGCTTATGTCAAAGCTAAATCTGATCTGAACATTGAATCCAGCAGCAGACAAAACAATCAATCCCTCCAAACATGTGGGGCTAAACCTTCCCTCAAAAGCTACTTCTGGCTCAAAAAGAAGCCTATCACACGTCCCCTACGCTCAACCCGACATAAAGATGCCAGTGGACTGAATGGCTTGCCAAAGAAATCCAGCTGTGGGACTGAGAGGAAAGAGGACTCTAAACAACCTTCACTGATTCCACCAACAGCACAGCAAAATGCTGAAGCATCAACAAAGAAAGGAGCATCAGGGGACAGTAAAGATGATTTCTGCCCAATATGCTTGGATCGGTTAATCAAACAGAAGCAGTTGAGGTGTAAACACACATTTTGTGATGAGTGTCTCCAAGCATCATTAAAACACATTGGACCCATGTGTCCTGTGTGCAAAGATGTTTTTGGTGTGATGGAGGGAGACCAGCCTGATGGAGTAATGACATGGAGCTCTGACTCTTCATCCCTCCCTGGATTCTCAGGCTGTGGCTGTATAGTGATCACCTACACTTTTCCTAGTGGAAAACAGGCGGTAAAAAACTTGATGAATACATTACAAGTCATAAAACGATTGCTGTCTTTATTATTTCTGGCTCCGAGTTGACTCTTTCTTCCTACCTCACAGGAAAAGCATCCTAATCCTGGACAACCATATCAGGGAACTAACAGAACCGCATATCTTCCAGACAACGAAGAGGGCCAAGAAGTTCTGAAACTGCTGAAAAAAGCTTTCGACCAGAAAATGATTTTCACCGTTGGGACGTCCAGAACAAGCGGGTTGGACAACCAAGTGATCTGGAACGATATTTCTCACAAGACGTCAAAGACAGGAGGACCACAGAGGTGCAGTCACCCAGTTTATGTTACGTTAATATCTATGTCTTTTTATTGTTGCCTTTGGTTTAACACTTTACGTCCGTCTTTTATGTGCTTTCAGATATGGATATCCTGACCCGGATTACCTGAGAAAAGTAAAGGAGGACCTGAAAGCTAAAGGCATAGAGTGACTCTGAGAGGGAGTGATGGTTTATTTTACTACTGAAATTAATAATTAAAAAAATACTGGCATATTTGTATGTTTTGCTTTTATTTGAGCAGTAAAGGTTATTTTATTATTAGTTATTCATTAATAAGGACTTCTTTAAAGAATATTTCACAAATTATTCTTTAAAGCAATAAAGAATAATTTATTATTAATTATTAAAACCAGCCTATGCTTTGCTTCACTCAGAGGTTGCAACATTTAGATCCTCTGTTATTGTGAAACAGTTGTTATTTGGGGACATGAACTCTACTGAAGTTTTAAATGATTATTTAACCCAATTGCTTGCAAATTTAAATATGACTTGGTGTAACTTGAAAAATATCTCATTGATTGATTTTATAATAAAAGAATACTGACGGATTTATTTATCACTTGACATAGAATGTACAAACACTGCTGGTTCCTAAAGGCAATGTAGTAAATTATGTTGTTTGTTGATAAACTAATATGAAAAATTTTCCATGAATTCTGTATCCTTTAATAAATTCAAATACAACACTGGATCATAACGTAGAGGTTTTGTAATGCATTATTTGTTTTAGAGATCAAGGTAGACTATGCCTTTAAGAGTCATAAGGAAAATGGGTCACAAGACCCGGTTTATAACATTTCTTTATTTACATACATGATAAAGAAGTTAACTTTTTTTAAATAGCTGTCAAACATGTTTGAATTTCTTGAGCAAAATGTGGACCCAGTCGGGTAACTCCAAAAGTCGCTGCAGTCAGTTTAAAAAAAGAAGCTGTAACACAGAATCGCTGCAAGAAAATACAACACTAGACATAATATATCCTATCACCTAAAAGAACAGACAAAAAGAAAAACAGAGCGATACTTGGATTTTCAAGATTAAAACTGAAAATTATGTATTATGTGAAGATGTGTGTGAAGATTGAAATAATGTGATTAGAGTAAAACTAACATTTAAAACATATCATATCCACTTGTGGGGTAGGCTTACATGTTTTAAATCGCATCCCATTTATTCTGAATTAGCCCCATCTACTGGTATACCATAGACATTAATACGTATTGATGTCTATGCTGGTATACTGGTTGTTTCAAACTGCTGTCCTCGCGAGAATTTGATGCTCTGCTCTGAGTTGATTTTAGTTCTGAAAAAAAAAAAAGTCTCTGTTTTCTCAGCAGGCGAAGTTGTTGAGTGTGAAGTCGTGAAACGAAACCCAGTTTGTGAAAGGGTTAGTTAATCAATCAACTTTATTTAAAGTTTAAATACTTAAATATCCTATTGATATTTGAGACAAGGTATTTCTGCCCGTCGCTGCGACAATATTGCATCTATAGTCACTGTAAGAACAGCAGCCTAATTAGATTGTTGTCATGAAATGAATATTGACAACTTAATTAAATGTCGTTTCTTACGGCACGGAATATTTGCGCAGTCTTTGGAGTGACGCTGTTTCTGACATTCAGCTGCTTTCACTTTCGTTTACAGGGAAGTGTCGTTTGCAGCGAGCAGGCGAAGGTAAGCTCGTCACAAGATTTAATTGGTGTTTATTTGTTGTTTGAACGCTTAAACTATGAGAGTACTTAGAAAATAACACCGAGTTAAAGCCTGTGTTAACAAAATTTTAACAAAAAACGTAGAGAAATGTTTCAGTTCAGGTTTGCATTTATAATCGAAAGTGAAGCAGAGCAAAAACCCGTGAGCCTTTTACTGACTAAACAAGTTTGTGATCTGAACTAAATGTATGTCGTTCAAAGGTTCACTTTATTTTCAAGAAAGAAAGAAGATAATCAAAATGGCGAGCAACGAAGGACCAGGGGAATCCATGGATTTTCAAAACCAGGATCATACGACGGATTTATCTCAGGTGCGTTGCAGACAAATACTTGGTTTAAAATTATGTCTTCTGAACAACTCGAGTTTATTTTGTGTATATTTTGCTTAATATAATTTAATTAATTCGCTATAAAACAGTATAGTCTAAGATGTATTCGCAAGCTTATTTGCTTTCGTTTTAGGAGATTGCTTACTCAGTACTGTAACTATTTCGACTTATTGACATTTAGAGAAAATGACAAACAATGTTTTACGATTATCCTTTGTTTTGGTATAAAATGTGTAACACCTGAAGAAACTTGGAACTGTGAGAGCAAATGTCAAGGTTTTGTTTTCAGGCTGGAGGTTTGCATTAGAACAGCAAATACTGAGGCAAAGTCCATAAAGTTTATAAGCTGTAAATGGGTGGATACAGATAAACTCACTTGTTAATGCAGAGATCAAAGTTTAGGAGCCACAGAAACAATGAAATACATTTTATATACACACCAGAGATCCAGAATTTAGTTGATTACAATTTATTTATAGAGGACTTCTCATACCGATATTTGTAACACAATATAATAGTGCTTCACTGAGATTAAAATCAGTTACAAGCATGAAAACTATCAGATCAGATTCAATACAATAACAATCACTCAGACAAGGCTGCACATTGTAAGCAAAAATATCTAATTGTGTTGCTGTTGTTAAATTGCAATAATGTTGCCAAATATAATTCACTTCTCTGTCTTCACAATCACACGATATTCCTACCATTCTCTGTGAACTTTAGCATATCAGCCACTCCAGGTAAACATCGAGTGAGAGCATTAAATGCTACTAGAATCAAAAATATGATCAGAATTCAAAGCCTTAATGTCTGCCTCTTTAAATGTGATATGCGACCAGATATTGCATCCAATCAGTCCTGTGAATACCTTGTGCAGCTCTATCACACAATTTGAAAAAAAATGTCATAATGTACAATTGTAAAAATTTAGTTGTAACATTACTTGCAGTAACAAGACACCAGCGATGTAAATAAACAGTGAAACATTCAAATTAAGAACTAATGGAATATTATGACACTTAAATAGATACAGATAAATATAAAATTATATTTTATTGCTGATAAAATAAAGTAAAAGCTAAAGATTAAATAAAGACAAGTTGAAAAATCATAGATTAATTTAAATTTAATTGCTGAAAAATATAGATATTCTGTCTGCATTTTAGAAAAGGTGGAAATATTATAAGCAGTTCTTGTGTTCATGCAGTGACCATGAACACAATGTCCGCCTTATTGTATATAATAATGTACTGTAACAGTACTGTAACAGTAAAATGTTAAATGGTAAACTGGGCAGGAAGTTAAAAATACAAATTTAAATTTAGGTTTGAAGTAATTTTCTGGAAATATTATTTACATTTTGGCGTGACCCAACTAGATTCCTGATCTGAATCTTATGGAGAATCTATGAAGGGAGGTAAAGATTAGGGTGATGGCAAAGAGACCTTCCAGATTTAAAGAGTTCGAGCTCATTATCACAGATAAATAACATAAATACCAGAGGATACATGGAGCTGTTGCCTTGCAGCAAGAATGTTCTGGGCTCGATTCCCGGCCCGGGTTCTTTCTGCATAGTTTGCATGTTCTCCCTGTGCATGGGTGGGTTATCTCCAGGGACTCTGGCTTCCTCCCACAGTCCAAAAATATGACAGTCGGGTTAATTGGTCTTTCTAAATTCTCCGTAGGTGTGAGTGTGTGTGTGCATGGTTGTGTGTCCCGTCTGTCTCTGTGTTGCCCTGCGACAGTCTGGCGACCTGTCCAAGGTGACCCCGCCTCTCGCCTGTTGCGTTAGCTGGAGAGGCACCAGGAAGCCTCCTGACCTCACTTGGGACAAGGTTGTTAGAAAATGGATGGAAACATGGAAAAAGATGGTCAGAATTTATAAGGATTTGATTGATGAAATGCCAGTAAACATTGCTCATTGATTATTAAGAAGAGTGTAAACCATTTTGACCCAGTATTAAAAAACACAGAAGCAAAAATCTCTAATGAATCTTTTGGTCTGTTTTTTAAAATTGTTCTTACAGACTGAGATGGATCCTCTAAAAGAAAAAGTCCTACTGACTCTCTCGTTGAAGTGGTTGGATAAGAACAAAAAGAAGACAGATCTACAAAAATCCCTCCAGACTCGGTTCAGCAAATTCAAAACTGAAATAGACTGCACAGTTCAAGAGGTCTTACCAGATGGACGAGCTCTGATTCTGGTTTCACCTCCTCCAGGTATAGAACTGTATTTTCATACACAGCATGTTAAAGACTCACCAACTGTGTTAGCCTAACCCTATAAAAAGGAATATTTATTTTGAATACACTGATATACCACAATGATGGCTTTTCAAACTATTGACAACTAAATGTATTTTGCATTCCTTTTTTTTTTTTTTTGTTTATTTTAAAGGCGTCACAGAGCTTCAGAAGCTGAGTGGTGAAACACTTTATACAAAAGATAAAACATTAGAAAAGAAATTAGAAAAAGAATTAGCCACCATTCTGTCTGTAATGCTGGGAAAAGCAAAGCAGGATCCACAAACAGCAGACGATGCTTCAGTGAATCCGACACCTCCAGCTGCTTCAGTAAACCCCAAAGATGCTGATTCCAAGCCTCCAGCTGTATGAACTCTAACACAAATACAGACATTATAGAATACATCATGTTTGTTCTTTAATAATGCAATTTTGCTTTTTATCCAGGACAAAGCACATGTTGAAGAACAGAAGAAACCAGTTTCTGCAGCAGGAGACCCTCCTGTCCAGAATCAAACGATGG